ATTTAATACTGAAAGGTATGTAAAGGCATAGGAGAAGAATGGAGAACCTGATCGGGCGGTTGGGTTGAGATGTAAAAACTGTTTTATCCTTACAAATACAGTGTTAACCAAATTAAGGCTTCAAATATTGTAGAAATAATTTAATGATTCTTACGTTTTGGGAAACATTTTAATAATTATTCTCATTTGCAAAATAACTATTTCGGCATTTAATTGCTTTTTGGACAATTTTATCAGTTTTTGAATGAATTCCAACAAATGTTAATTAAAACTTATTTTGAATTGAATGTCATTTTAATGAATATAACTTTATATAACATATAGATTCACATTAAAGTAAATGAAAGAAAATGATGAAAACATACCTTCTTTTGGTTTCTTTTCGGCGAAACATATGCGGAAAAGTCCCTCATCTCGACTATAATACCGATAGTCTCTCTCGTATTCATTAGTTAATGAGTGGGAATCGATGTAGAGTTTGGTCTTATTCTTGTCGACTCGTATTTCATACCAGTTATCAGTACTGAATCCGATGGACAGACAGGCGACGGCCACTACCGATATGATGGTAGCGACTGATAGGGTGACTGCAGAACAGGCCATTTTGCGCTCACCTTTTTTGCCAACAACTGGTCGTAGCGTTGAGTTAAAGCGAGTTTAAGATTATTATTGAAAATTATATCAACACTACTGTTGTTGTAGTGAAGAAAGAAGAGAGAACTCAGGAAACAGAGGAACAGAGAGTTATAAGAGTAGACAAGTGTTGAGTACAACCGGCGATCACTTTTCACTTTATTTCAAAAATCAATTCAATCCTTCTTTTATGGCATAACTTCTTATTAATTGTCCGTTCAATACATTAATTGTTGAATATTAACAACAATTAACAGAATTAATCAGAAATGAAACTTACATTTGAGACAAAAATGCAAACAAATGTCTTTAGTTGGCAGAGGGGCACAGGTATGCACTGGAAGTATAAGGTATATACAGTATAACCAGTGCTTCAGATAACTTGTTTTAGTGGATGTGTTTTGCGATTGCGTTTCAAATCTATTAGAGAAACATTTTTGAACTGTTTTTGCTTTAAAAACTGCGCAAAACCTGTATTTCCAACACTACCTGTGCTGTTAAGCCCTCACTCCTTGTCAGCCAAAATACTATTGCAAAACAAGTTTTTTCTTATTCAACAAATAGTTGAGAACTGCTTTGAAGCTAAAGTGAAACGAACCCAAAATGTGGTCTTTTCTCAAATAGACTTTAAATTATGAGACGAGGAATGAAGAGAAGAGAAACACAGGAATGCAATGAATGAGTGAATGATTGGATGAATGACTGCCCCCTTCCTTACTATACATACATATAGCGGACAAAATCCATAATAAGTGTTCATTCCGTGAATTAGCTCATCGGACGACACGTACCGCTTCGGGTCATTCATATATGACTTGTTTCTAACTGTTTTTCATAAACTTTTTAAAACTTTGAGACTATTTTAATACTAGTATCAGAAGATAATGATAAATGAACTCTAATTAACTATTAATGAGTTTTATTAATAAATTATATATCATATAAAATATTCTTTTGAAGTATTTTCATAAAATAGGAAATAAAGTAAATATGAATTATGAATCAAAGTCTAGGCTTAAAGGGTTTATGATTTCTCTGTTCGCAAAGGCGTTGTTCACATATTACGTTCGCACTTGGGGGGAAGGGAGTGGGTCGGCCAATGCGAACTTTTGCGAACGAGGGGGAGGGGAGGGGTAGAGACCTAAAGAACGTTCGCATTTAAACAATTTAAAGAGTTTAAGGGATTAATTATCCTTAAAGTTAATCTTTTGATAACAACAGTTTGATAACAAACTTTAAGTAAATATATGACTTTGGAATAGAAAGTAGTTTTATTTCCAGAAATTCTATGTCTTCAATGCGGGGTGAAAGTGGCGGATCCTATCATATTGGNTGTATCAAAGTAAGAATTATCAATAATGAATTTTCATCAAAATAATGAAAAATTGTGATCTTGAAACATTCTTTGTTTAAACAAGTTAATAATCGACTATTGTTGAAGTTGAGGTTCCAATTGTAATAATCTTAAGTAACTAATAATTAATTTATATACCACTATTAAAATGTTGCTTCAAATTGATAACATTTAAATTTAGATAGACAAAAGGTTTTGAAATTAAATCTTTTTTATGTAATATATTAAATAGAATCGAAATGTTTTAGTCATAATGTGCCAGAATTTAAACAGGAACTCAATAATACAGGAACTCACAACTAATCTATAACTTTTATGAATATGAATATTTTTTAGTTATGAATACTTTTAATTAATAATAATATTATCATGCAATCGTTAGTCATGTTTTAAGTATTGAGATTTTAGTAAGATTATATTATTATGTAATTTATAAATATTAGAAACCATTTATTATTATTTACATGTTGATATTAATTATTAAATTAAATGTTAAAATTGAATATAATTTACCACTTTTTTATGTGATTGAAATGATATGATATGTCGGTCATTGACATACGATATCGTGTCTCATAAATAGACGCCTCAATAGATTTTAATCAAAGAAAAGTTTAATTCAAAATTTTTAATTTTTACTTAAAATGGTTTCAATTCATTTCAAAGTTGCAAATTATACAGACATTGCGATCAATGCCAAGAATTTGTTAATTTATTTTTGTTCATAAGTTACTGACTAACAATCAAACGAGAGGAAAATCTTAGAGAAAACCATATGCTAAGATTACAAATAATGTAAATAAATAAACATAAAGATAAAATATTATTAGATATCATTTATTATATAATGAATCTCTAAATAATTTATCCATCGATTGAATTGACTATAATTATAATTTGACATTAAGTTCTTGTTTTAAGCAATCCCTGAAGATATTATAAACTAATCATTTATATTATATCAAATTTAGTCCACAAAACAACTGTCAATATATCTCTTGATATAACATTATAATATGTGTTGAAGGGATGGCTCTTGCAAAATGTCGAGTATGACCATGATCATTCTTTAAACAAATTGTTGACCAATTGGTTCGGTCTGTCATATAAGTGGTTCAACACTTGTATACTTCAACACCTGTGATGAGATACAGCTATTTAATTGGCACAAGAATGGGTTTGATTTCTGATATAAATTGCAATTAATTATTAATTATATAAAGTAACAACTTATCAGGTTTTTTATTTGTTAAAATATTTTATTGATTTGTAATTAAAATTGTTTTTTATATAATTATTTAAAAATATTAAAATTACATACTGTTTGATGGAATCGATATAAGAATTATATAAAAAATATATTGTTTAAAAGTTTTAGTGAATTAGGATTTTGGTTTCGCTTAATGTTTGTTATTTTAGTAAGTTTTGGAAAGTATGTAACCAACGCTAATTAATCTTTTAATTGATTTTTTGTGGAGTAAAATAAAATAGTTATGAAATAACAGTTGAGACAAATATTACAAATTGTTGTGACATTCAGTTTGTATTGAAAAATGTAATGAATGTGTTATGAAGTGATGATAAGATACACTCGATTGATGAAAAAACACTTACTTTACAATTAATTGAGTATATAATGCATATAATGGCTAACAATTGGATGATTTAAACTAATTATTACATGAAGTAAAGGCACTGAAAGAAACGGTTATTTATTGTTTAATAACCATAGGGTCCGATCCCGTACTGCGAGCCGTGATAATGGTATGGCCCGGGATAGGCGTAAGCGTAGTTCACTCCGTATGGGTTGCGTTTGTCGGGATAGACGGGCATTAAATACTGCATATTCTTCGTCTGTTCGATCCGTTTCTCACTTCTTATACAACGAGCGGCCGATAAGAACATAATCGATGCGATCAGACACTGGCCGATGCCTATCCACGCCAGGATGTATGACCAGCCGTAGTAGAACTCAGTCACACCCGACTGTTTCAAAACCTGTTTCAAAATATCATTTTGCATTAGTTTTTTAATTCATTTAATTATGAAAGTAATCGATTGAGTAATGCATACATCGGGCCATTGGGCGTAAGAATATTGGTCTTTGAGTTTATGGTGATCGTAGAACTGGACGGCGTGCCACAGACCCATCGCACCCGCATCCATGAGCGCTGATATAATTGCGATATAGATTTCATTAAATTCGCGTCAAATCATTGCCACTATTTGGTACTTACAGCTCAACAGTTGCAATAATCCGGTGGAGACCAGATTGGCGTGCGATCTCTTCCAACAACCTATTAAAACCATTTAAAACCATTAAATTTTCATTTTATTTAACATAAATGAGAAAATGTTAAGAAAATATTAAATACTTTTTTAACTAAAAAATCTTAAATATTCTTCATATATACAGACAGTTATTATTATACAGTATTATATAATTATTGGTATAATTTTAAGGTCAACTAAACTTCTTAATAGTCGTACGCTTTTCACAATTGCATTAGAGGTCAATACAAATATTTATACACTATTAACAAGTCCTGAATATAACTGTATATATAAATAGCAAAATGTTTTACTAAAAACGTCAATACATACCAGCGATTCCAGTGAAGAATGAGAGGAATAAAAAGAAAAAGGCCACTATGTATAGGGCAACCACTGATCGAGCCATATCTGTCCAGTCATTATAAATAGATTATTACTTTATTTATATTAAGTTATTAAAACTAATGTCTAATTATCAATATATTAAATATCCTTAAACAACCAATTTGTTTCTATAAATAGTTCAATTTATATTTTAATGTTAACTGTTTATATATTTTTTAATAATTAGTGCATAATTATAATTTTGAATTCTATGTTAAAATAAATAATTTAAGAAATTTAAAATAAATGAAATGAATGGTGTAGAAGGGATTCTTATCACTAATTTATTATTTTACATATAAATATAATATGGGTCAGGGATGACGGCATTTATTATACAAAAATACCCGTTTCCCTATGTCTGACCACTTCACTCAATTCATATGATATTTTGTTTGTATTTATTGCACATAATTTAAGATAACGATATGTGATGAAGGCTTACATCAGTTATAGTTTCAAGAGTTATAACAAACGCTTACTGTATATCTCGGCCTTTAGATTGAATTCAATTCCTGATTCAACAGTATATTTAGTGAATTGTGAAACAGAAGTGAAAATATAAAACCATATAAAAAGTAAAAGAATTGAATTAATATGATATGCATTACACATAAAGTACAGTAATTATAATCATTTTTCTATTATAGTGTGAAATTAATAAAATGTAATTATGATGTAATTTACTATGTAATTAAATGAATATTAAGACAATTAAATATTTTATTGTATTTATTTTTAAACATCTGCAGATTGTAAACAATGTAAAAGTATTATTATTAATATATTTAAACGACAATCTTTTCAAAATTTCCCAAAATTAAATTATGATAACTTATTGGCAATAAGTTAATATTGTCATTAATATATTGTCTTTACATCAATCAATTTATAAATAAAAAACTTGTTTCTAAAGTGTAAAAACCTTAATGTCTTGATATTTTGTGGATACAAATAACAAAAGAAATCTCATATTATAAAGAATTGGGTTTCAAATATAAAAAATTCAACTTATTATCTGACAATTGATTATAAACTAAGTAAAAGTTAAGACAAATTGGTGTCAAATAACATTAAACAACTATTAATTGTTAAAAATTAACTTTATATTAAAAGTAATATCTGTTTTGTTTTTAAAATTAAAACATTTATGTAAAGGCAATACAATTTATGAGTTACAGTAGAACTTTACTGTCGGCTAAATTTCATACAAAATAAGCGATTAGTTTGCAATATCTTAAGGGAATACTTAAAAACTATAACTAAAAGTCAGGCTATAATTAAATTTGAACCTTAAGTCAATTGAATCGATGGATAAATTATTTAGAGATTCATTATATAATAATACTATAGATTGTTATAAAACAGAAATACAAATAATTAAATGTAATAAACATTTATATCGTATACCAAAAGAGATTCTAAAAGGAGAGCAAACTAACAATCAGTCATTGAATACTTGTTTTTATTTATAACAAATTCTTGGCATTGATTGCAATGTCCGCATGATTTGCAACTTTGAAATGTATTGAAACCATTTTAAGTAAAAATTAGTGAACTTTTCTTTGATTAAAATCTATTGAGGCGTCCATTTATGAGACACGATATCGTATGTCAATGACCGACATATCATATCATTTCAATCATATGGAAAAGTGTTTAATTAAATAAAATTCTAACGTTTAATTTAATAAAGTTATAAAAATCTGTGATTTCTCAGTAAATGTTACTAAAATATTAATAATCTATATCTTAAATACAAATAACCTTATTAAAATCAATATTTAATCGTTATTAATAATAACTTATTATATACCGGTGATTTCATTTTTTATATCAAAAAGATTCACTTTTATTTCAACAATAATTAAGTTTCTCCGAATATTACAAACTATAGATAATTTCAATTTTAGTTAATGCATAAAATATATTAGAGTTTTAGAGCAGTTATCAAAAATTGTCACATATTTTGGTCACTTTATATTCTTTCACTTTTAATTAATGTGCAAAACATTCATTGTTTGCAATGAAAGCAAAACAATAGAAATTTTAAATGTTGAATATAATGGACTCATTCACAGGACTAAATTCATTAACCATATTATATCATACATTATATCACAACTACTGTTAACTAATATTATGATAAAATGAGTGAAGACTTACGCAATCGTTCCCATCTTTGTTCAGAGAATTTATCCGAGACTTCATTTTCTGGTATATAATAGTCTATATTAAAGCACTCGGTCTGTGTTGGGGACAGGTATGTGGGCACTAGAATTAAATCAATCAAATTATATATAATTATTAGTTTTTGGTTTCATTTTAAATATAAAAGAGAATTGAAATAAAGAAAAACGTTATATAAATCATAAAAATAAAATTCAATTCAAATTTATATACCGTATATATCTATACCATATTTAATGAATTTAATTCAATCAAAACAATAGCCAAAAAGCATTTGTTTTATTTGAACTCAAATATAATAATATAAAATAATTGGAAACAAAAAAAGATAAACTAATTTATTTTTATGAAAGACAGCATAAAGTTGTTATCGTTTCCCTAATTTATAGCATTTGCTCCAATTCTGGGCTCGTATTTGGTTTATACACTGTTTTAGTCTATAAACAAATGTATCGCAAAAACAGTGAGCGACAGAATTGAGTCCCATTTAAATAAAATTAACATTTATTGAGAAATTCTAGTCTTTGAAACATAAACTAATAGATATGTAATTGAAGTCAAATATCCTTAAGTTTCAAATTTATTTTAACATAAGATGTGTTCAAAATAAAAAATTATTCCCACAATCAGATAATTTCGATGTTTTTTGCTGTTTTTGGTATCATTTCTGAACTTTATTTTTGGTAAATGTATTCACTTTTGGGGTCAAAACAAAAATATAATATATTTTCAAAAATCTATTTAAAAATATTGTCAAAATATATTGGCTTATAATGACAACACATTTTAATTATAATACTTGATATTACAACAAATAGTTGTACAAATCCAATGTGAATGTTAAGATACCATTGAATGTTTTAATCCTTTAGTTCATGTATAATGAATAAAAGCAATAGTTATTCACATAATTATAGGTTACACTTAATAAATGCTTAAAAAAGGGAATGTTTTACATTTTGCATACTAAATTATGACTTTCCATACATTTCCGTATCCTCTTCTTACCTCTTGGACTAGCCCGCCAACCCAACTCTACATTTTTGACAAAATAGGAATGTTTATGTCACAATTGGTTTAATTCCGAAGTTTATACGTGTGATCAGAGAAATCAATCACGATTGGATTATGGAAATTAAATATGAAATTAATATTAATTGTAGATCTTTTGTATATGGATTGAAATGTTATTTATTAGGCTACAAAATAATGCAAACCATTTTGCCGTAACTATTGTGGTTCCCGAGAAATTCCCGCCCGTAGAGACTGACCTCCAAAAACACTTTGGCAATGCTATTCTATGAGAAGTAAAATTTCCAACTTATAAATCTCGCTGAATATGATAAATTACATGTTTAGGAGCCGCGATTTATACCAAATATGTGTTTTCTATATGTAATCTGTATAACCTAATTTTTATTTTACATAATTTTACCGTATATTAATTCCCGTCGGGTAAAAGTGCCAACGTGTTTCCGAGGTCGGTCTCTACAGGCGGGAATTTCTCAAGAACCACAATAGTTACAGCAAAATGGTTTGCATTATTTTATAGCCTAATAAATAACATTTCAATCCATATACAAAAGATCTACTATTAATATTAATTTCATATTTAATTTACATGAACAAATCGTGATTGATTTCTCTGATCACTCGTTAATAGGAATAATAATAAGTTATTTATAAAGAAATTATTCATAAAAATTTGTTTTAAGAAAAAAGTTGTTTATTATATATCAAAAACAAACTAATAATTACATGCATTATATGCTTATTAATTGTAATCAATAATTACTTTTAGGATATTATAATCACTCAACAAAACAAAAAATAAAACCAAATAAAAATAACTAAAAGAGAGATAAATATACTGCGATATTATGAAGACTATAATTGTAAGCCATTAGTAACTTATAAATAATTAACAATTTTATTTTGATGTCTTGTTTTTTGAAAATATTATATAAGTTTTACGTTCATTAAGAGTCTGTATTTAATGAACATTTTATTGACTTTTCTCACAAAGCGCTACAAAACAAACAATAAAACAAATAAATATGTATAAAATTAATTTTACGACACGAGTCTGTAATACAATAAACATAAAACATATTATTTTATAATGAATTTAAATTTAAGCACAAAATAAAATTGTAAACATTAAAATATACCCCATTATTATAATAAATGAATTAGATTTAGATGAAAATTATTGAAATTTGTTTAAATCTCTTGACAACAAAGTCGTAAAAGTAATGCATTTATTTAAATATTAGATTTTATTATGTATTGACAAATGATTTTGCAATTTGTTTTAATTTTTAATAACAATAATATGTTGTTTTGTTTAATATATTTAATATTACTATAAGTATTGATTATTTATTAGTTTTTATATTGATTATAATTAATATAAGTGTTAGATAATAAATAAATTTGTTTTTTGCATCAAATACAATAGAAACTAATACTACTTTAATATTTTATGTGCAAAAATGTACATGTATTTCATTTTGTCCCTAAAATGCACTTAAATTAACAACAATTATCAACTATTTAAATAAGTTTTTACTAGTTTAAACTATAACAGATGTAAATTTAATTATTTGATTGTAATGATACTCTTTGCAATAACATAAATATAGTTATATTAAATAATATTTACATTTAATTATTTTATTGTTATATCCAGATTGATTTTTAATCTAGCATTGTAGCAGCATCCACGGTTGTAACTTCACAGTAAGTGTTAATGCAGTGATATAGGCAATGAAGATATGATCCTGATCTGCTTATATTCAAAATCAAATATACATTTGAATATAATTATTTTATTTTATTGACACTCCGCTTTTAATATTTTTGCAATTATATAAATTTCATTATTTTATATCATATTTACAATAATNTTTAGCGTTGTATTGAGGAATGTAATAGTCTTTAATACACTCGATATTATTGCATTCATTTAAACAATACAATTCATCAGGCGCCGACTCACAGTAATTGTCGAGTGAATAATTAACATAATGGTTCAAATTGTTAAAGCCATGATCATCTTTGTAGTGTAGCGTGTTAGCGGGACAGGCACCTTCTTCGTCAATTAGGAGATTCATGCATTGAATTACGCATTTATCAAGTTTTTGGCCTTTTAAGCATTTATCGCCATTTAGAATATAATTTAATTTGACAGTATATAACTTGTAAGAAATTATCAAATCTCCATAATTATTTAGATTGCCGACCCAATGACCCTTGCGGCGTATGTCTCGTAGCCTTTCTTGGTGTGAATGAACGTGAATAATTAGCTCCTGGGTTATTGATTTATTATTTATCAAAAACAAAAGTGCCTTGCCGCCTTTTTTGTCCGTGAATTCGGTCTGGTCAGAACCATCATTTGATTCATTGCCCATCCGATCAGGTAATACTGTCAAACAAAAGCGACCACTTTGTGAAGTGAGCGACCGGCGATACGGGGATACGTTACTGCAATCTTCTCGTTTATATCTGTACCAGATTAAGCATTTAAATGAATCATCAAAGTCTATGAGTTCGTTCATTTGATCATTCATAGACTGGTTGGCGAATACTTCTCGTTTAAATTCGCCATTTTTGTCTAGATATTTCGACTTTACGGCCGGTCTTATCAGAGCTTCGGTATCCATGCATAGTGTGAGCGCCGGTACACTCAACACATTGCTAAACAATACATTGGTACTTTTATCGTATGAGAAGTATATCAAACTTATTTCATACGTTTGATATAGAAATCCACACAATATTAATATTTTGGATAATACATTAATTACTATTGCTGTGGACAGCATTTTAAATTGGATTTTAAAATCAAATTAAAAGCTATTATGTTTGATAAAAATATTAATTCCTTATCTGCTGATATTTAAACTATAACAAATGTAAATTTAATTATTTGATTGTAATGATACTCTTTGCAATAACATAAATATAGTTATATTAAATAATATTTACATTTAATTATTTTATTGTTATATCCAGATTGATTTTTAATCTGGCATTGTAGCAGCATCCACGGTTGTAACTTCACAGTAAGTGTTAATGCAGTGATATAGGCAATGAAGATATGTTCCTGATCTGCTTATATTCAAAATCAAATATACATTTGAATATAATTATTTTATTTTATTGACACTCCGCTTTTAATATTTTTGCAATTATATAAATTTCATTATTTTATATCATATTTACAATAATTATGTTGTTGTTACACCCATATTGATTTTTACTCCAGTATTGTGTTAGCAAGGTTGTAACATGTATGTTTGCATTGATATCGACTATTAAAATACACAATTTCTTACAGTATGCTAGATTACAAATCAATATGGGTGTAACAATAAAATAATTAAATGTAAATATGATTTAATTTACTATAATAAATCTCATTTCGTGACGCACGCCATGATATTGTTGGTTTGTCAATCAAAAATGTCATTATTATTTTTAACCACAATTCAACAATGAATACTGTAGATTATAGGATCGTTCGGTTGTTCCGACTGCTACATTCATCTCAATAGAGGCTTCAAAATTATTAAAGTTAAACACCGGTAAGTCTCGTATGTCTGGTCGGCATTGCGCTGATTGGGGTTATCCAAGACATTGTCTGTAATGTTCGGCAGCTGAAAGTCGACTGAATGAATAATGTGCGGTCAGTTCGGGTTCATTAAATTGTCAATCACTTCAAATACAGTAACTGTGTTTATATGACTAAAATAGTCGACCAAATTATTATGTCATATAATTAACCGGTCATATAATTATTAGGGTATGCAATATGACAAACCATGTATTTAACATATAACCATGTATTATACATAATTTACCGTGTATTTTACGGTGTATTTTACATGCACATATTTTTCATTTTGTAAAATACGTTGTTGTAAAAATAATATCCGTATTAGCATGAACGGATATTACGTTTATTATTACAAACAATTTGTAACCATTTATAGAATTTGTCGACCAGTTATGCCGAGCCGTGGAAGGCCTGTGTGTGGAAAGACTTTGGTTGGGGAGGAATATACCGGAATGGGTGGTGTGT